AAAAAAAAAAAAAGAAACAATCAATTATTTTAAAAGAAATTACAACAGTCACGATGTGTTATCATCATAAGAAAGTCAAGGACAAATAAAACAACTTGAGATTCAAGTAATGGCCCAGATTTTCGATAACTGGGTCAAGTACAGACCATAAGTATATAAACGAGATAATGGAGATAGACACGCGAAAATTAATAAACGACCAAGAGCTCTTATCGTGCATATGCCACGTTTCACTAATTGAATCTTTTATAGTTATAATTAATGATAAACAATTTTTAAGAATGTATTATACTGCCGCAATGGCAATGCAATGAAACACAGAACTTAATTTAAAAAAATTACTGAATATATAATTTATTCAATTGAGATCATCTAAAAACAATAATATGCTTCGAAAGTTAAAAAATTAAATAAATTACATTCTGCAACCAAGATTTTACGATTCGTTTCATAGAAGAAATTTATATTTCTTAACTACATTTATATTTTATTCAAAAGTTACATAAATATGCTTATAAATATATTCAAATATCGTGTATTTAGCAATTATTTCGAAGATCAAATCCCGGTTAAGAAAAATTCATTTTATATTTTCACTTTTTTTTTACTTTATAATTATATCTATCTAGGTACATCATTCTTCGGAGTATTTCCAAAATTAACAAGTAAATGTGAAGTTAATAAGCAAATGAAAATTGAAAAACGAGCATACCTTCGCAAGTACGACCATTAAATCCAAGTTTGTAACCATCTGGACATTTACAAGTGTAACTTCCTGGTGTGTTTTCACAAATTCCTATACACAAATTGTTCTTTTTGAACTCCGTACATTCATCGACGTCTGTGCAAGAACGATTATCAGGGTTCAACCTGAATCCAGGTTTACAAGCACATCTATAACTACCCCATACATTGAAACACATATGTTGACACAAATTAGGGGTTCGTTGGCACTCATCGATATCCTAAAATATTAAATAAGAAATCCAGGGATTAATCCGAGAGTTTACACTCTTAATAATAAAATTACGTTCATTAATAAATAAAAAGATGAATCAATAGATAAGTTACACCACTTCTGCATTTTGAAATAGTTACGAATGAATGAAAAAATTCTTTTCTTATCGACATAAATTATCAATCAATTGTTATTTCTCAATATAATTGTCGAATATCTGTGAGTATTTATCGTAAAGGACAAAATTTGCATTTGATTATCTACGATCAATAATAATTTTAAACTTTTCCCCTTCTCTTTATTATCCGTATTGAAATATTTAAATCTTTCTTTCATTTGGATAAATAAATATATAAAATTATATGGCGAGAGATATACATAGATTATAAGGTGAACATTGTTACTATTTCAATTGAAATTTATAGAACTGAAAATTAATGAAAAAGTTTATGAGAAAGCATCATTTCTCCAGTGATTTTTTTCAAATTATTTATTTTCTAAAATGATTTAACTAAATTTGGATATCAACAATTTCGCTATCGAGGAAATTTATTTATAAGACTACTACGGTAGCAAAAGTGTTAATTCGAATATTCTCTAACTATTACTTCGTTGATTTTCTTTTGTTCTTAATATTAACAATTCTTTTCTTTATAATTTTTTTTATTAATATTAATAACTTTCTTATGTCTGTTTTCTTAAGTCGCTTTATGTTTGATCTTCATTCTCTTAATTTACGAACGTTATCGCGTATATTTTCTTATATATTCTATGTATAAACATTAGAAAGAAACTTCATATACATTTAACGAACTCTATATTTAAAATTATATATATATATATTTTTTTTTAGTATACGTTATACGTCAAATTTATTTATGATTGGAAAACTTTTTCATATTTTAATAAAATTACATATATTGCAATCAATAGTTGTATTTTTTGGTTTGTTATCAGGAAATTTTTCTATTGTATTTATAATAATAAGTCATAAGAAAATTGTTGAAAATAAGAAATTAGATATTGTAAAAATTAGGTATTTATCTTTATGGGAAAATTGTATTAGATATAGTGAGCAATCTAACTCATTGTTGCGTTATCTTAAGAATGAGATTATTTTTGAAAAAATTAGCTATGATACAGGAAAAGTCATTTATTAATAAAAGAATTGTCGAGAATAATATGGTATATTTCGTGTGATGATTGTAGTTGATATTCATGATTGCATAGAGCGTAATATCCATAATCTTAATTTATCTCGTAAAATACAATAATAGTGAATATCTCAAACTATGCGACTGATTAATTTGTTGAAACATATTATACGATAATAACAATGTTCTAGTTGTATAATCACATAATGTAAACTATAATACTTAGAAGAAAAATTAACAAGTATGCAAATTTTCGAACATATAATATCCATATTTTTGAATATCTCATATTTAAATCATAATTAATTATAATAATAATTTTAAGTGACAAGAAACAACACTTTGTAATTTACCTGACAACTACCACCAGCAAAACCACCAATATTTTCGAAACCATTCTCGCAATTACATCGGAAAGAACCAACAGTGTTTTCACACTGACTATTTGATCCACATATATTACCATAAAGACTACATTCATCAATATCAACGCAGTCCTTATTTGGTCCGGCAACGTGTCCTGGCGGACAAGTGCAAACGTAACCACCTGGCCTATTTTCGCATGTCTGATCCGGAGTACATTCATGAGTACCATTCGCACATTCATCGATATCAATGCAATATTGTCCTGATATTGGATCCAAAGTGAATCCATTGCTACATATCACTTTAGATACACACCTGGAATTTAAATATTGAAAGATTATTCGAGGAATTAAATTCAAAACTATAGCAGTCGAAGTTACCATTTTGACAAAAATAATGGTTAATTGTTGCAATTTACAAGATTACATACATCATATGAAGAATATTTTATTAGAATTGTTATTAACTAACGATAAGGAAGAAATACTCCGGAAAATAAATTTCATAAAAATACGCAATACAATACTTCCGAAAAATATACAATATTTTTTTCATTTTTAGATCAAGAACACAGATATATCGATTCTCATATATTAACACTATTAACGTACCGGCATTTTACATATACCTATCTTACCATAAGGGGTCAAATGACCTTCGGCGGTAATAAGGTATGCAAAGAATTTTTCTCGGTGATCCCTCGCGGTACATAAGGTATGCAGAGAATTTTTCTTGGTAAAAAAAATGAAGTAAGAGAAAAACAGAAAACGAGAAATTGAATAATCAGATAATATAAGAATTTTAAAAAGTCAGATTAGCGAAAGAAATAACAACGAATATGTACGATTTTGAAAAGGGGTCATTTGACCTCGTTTGGTACGTTTAGTGTTAACACGAATATTAGGACGTAATCATGGTCACGTTTTTATCATGGTCAGAAATCGTGTATCGTAAGAATGAACGTGGAAAAATTGTTGCAAGGTATATCGAGAGGGTTAAACTCTCCGTATAAATAAACATTCACAAGTTATGTGAATGACTCGAAACGGGGCGAACTTCGTCCTGGTATGCCAATGCCGATCGATCGATAGGACTATCAGAAGGCCAGGAGCACTTTCTCGCGGAAGCTATCTCGGGATCTCGACCGATAGCGATCGGGTGGAGAAGTGACGATCCGATCCGTACTCCTCTGTCGCGGTGCCGTCCGATTTTCTGCGAACGATCGCGAGTCGAAATTAATTAGGGTGCTCGCAGGAAGCGAGCTCGCTGCCAAAGGATATCGAGCGTTCGCAGGGTAGCGGGGAGCAGGCCAATCGTGCGCCTTCATTGCCCTCGACGCGTTTCAGGCCGTGAGCGTTAATTGGCCGGACCAATTAATTCCAACAAGTTCGCCCGATGCGATTAGTGCGCGTACGTGCTGGTGTTCGTGCGTCCTGTACACACGTCCACCTTTAACCTGGTGTTCGAACACGCACACATACACATACATAGGCTGCACGCTGTCCCCTCTCGTCTCGTGCCTTCTTGACTCTTCGTTTTTCACCGTTCCTCTTCTTCTTCTTCTTCTTCTTCTTCTTCTTCTCCTCTGTTCGCGGTAACAAGCGAACACCGATCTACCCCCGGAAAACGAAGAACCTGTTCCACACGCCGTCGGAGGTTTCTCGCATTCTCGGCTGCTCCGCGACACCAGATACCGTCGTTGTTCTCCCCGTGCCTTCGGCCAGGAACAGGAATCGGACGCAATAACGAAAACACAAATTACGGGAGCACCAAGCGCCGATCGTCTCGCCGTGATAATCTCACCACCACCGGTCGGGCCGCGGTGGTCGCGTCCGATTATTAAAATCGTTTCCTCTCTTTTACTCACGGTGTAGTGTTGACGGATCTCTGCGATCGCCTGCCGACGCTTTTACGGAAATTCAATCGCGTTTCCAGCGTGGATGGTGTTAATTATCCACTACACATATGCGTGATGTAACACCTCCGTTATCTCGAATTTTATTTCTATTTCCTATTTCTGAGAATATAGTGTACACGTTGGATATTTTATACATCGTGGAAATGATGAATTTTGACACTAGAACTACCAAAGTCAAAATGATCAATTTATTATTTTTGCTGGACCAATGATCAATTTATTATTTTACAGGCGTGTTTTAAAAGGTTTTTTTTTTCGTAAGATATATAAATAAAAGCGTATACAATCGTATTATAAAGTTTTCCTATTTTTTTTTGAACTTCGATATCACCGATGAAATTTTTATGCTTTAATCGCCGATAGTCCCAGCGTTAATAGGCACAACTCAATTGAAATCTTGAGCACTGTTTCTCTTTGAATTTTCACTCACGTTTCTCGATCCTTCTTCATTACATCGGTACGGCAAGATTTAACGGAATAAAGATTTGCTGGGCCCTGCAATCGCCTCATGAGTCATCCACGCGTGTTATTTACCTCTCCTCTTTGATTTCCTTCCGTAAAACTCGACTGTTCTCTGGCAACGAGTGAGAAACGAGATAGAACCGCACGACCGTGTGTGTATAATCTGAGAACGACAGATCCCTCCGTCGAGAGAGGGACTGCAATTTTCGCGAAAATACGAATCGACTACGGCACGGCTACGGTTCGCGTTCGAGAATTTATCACGTTGCGTCGGCTCTCGCCTCGTCGCGTCGGTCGCCTCGGCTATCGGCGATGATCTCGATGCTTGCTGATAAAATATCTTCGCCCGTTGCTTGTTTCGACGGACCCGCTCTCGCCTCTCTCGTTCTACCGGTGGCTTGATTGGTGCATTAAATGCGCGAACGTATGCGAGCAGCGCTGCTCGAAATCGCGCGAAGAGGAGGATAAAGTCGAGAGATATATCGTGTCTGCGTGTTTGCGACCAGACGTGTAATTACTGGTTAAACTTACGCGGTCAGGGTGGTAATAAGTGTAGTAAGCGGCGACGCGATTAGGTGTTATGATTAGCACCGTTGAACCATTACTTCCTCTCCAAGGGAGTTGCTCGATTTCTCATTTCTAAGCTTCTCATACAGATGCTTCGATTTATTGTCGTTGACGAATTGTGCTAAATAATTTCCCTTCCTAAGTAGAATTTCTTTCTAACTTCGCGCATCGAACGTCTCGAGTAGTCTGTCACTTGGTAATTAACTCTTGGTTAATTAAAGGGGAACGAAGAGAAAGAAGTAAAAAGAAAACGAATGTGACGATTGAAAGAATAACGCGCGGCAGGCGAGGTG